TATTAAAAGACAAAAAAATTCTTAATAGAATTTTTACCAAATTGAGATTGAAATGAAGATGTTCTTTCATCACAATACATACGAAATGGATCATGAGCTTTTTCTTCATATGTTTTACCTTTTGATACTAATACAGTTAATGACGGTTCAGGTGTACCATTCTATAAATATAAGAAAAATATACAATACAAAAAAAAACAAATTAGGGAAAAAAAATAGTTACAGAAATACTAAAATCTTCGATACCAAATACAACCAAATCACGATTAACAGATGTTAAACTACATGCAGAAAAATCAATGTTGAATGATGACATAGCTAAAATATACGATATGATATGAACGGCACAATTTTAAGACACTTTTTACTTCTATGTTTTCTCTTCGAAGAACGAAATTCAGATACATATTTTGAGTGGTATGTGTAGTCAAGACTGGATTCTATTTATGTCACCTTTTTTCGAATTATGAGAGAATCTTTTCAACAATTCCCTTGCAATTCCAATAGTATTTGACCTATAGATATTGTATAGTGTTCTAATAAAAAACCCTAAAAGAATTCGAGTATGAATAGGCCATCGATTTTTTTTAGAGGTTCAGTTTTTTGAAAAAGTGGATCTCTAGACAAAAAATCGATGGCTTAGTTCAAATCCAAATCCTTTTAGAGTTTTTATTAGAATACTATGTAATATCTATAGGTAAAATATCATTAGAATTGAAAGAGAGCACCTAAAAAAATTCTCTTGCTAGTCGATCTCTTACTGAAGATAGGCCAGAACGTCTACTATATGTCCAGCAGGCAAAGATTTAAGACGCTTATAGTATTTTTTTTTGCTAATTAAACAATAGACAAAATTTCTAAAATATCATTGGATGGGGTACATTTTGGTACAGATATTTTTTTTTAAATTAATAAATCTAATAATGAATAATTATAGAAGAAGAATGTCGTAATTTTCGATTTTCAAGAACACTATAAGAATGTGGATTCGAAATCATATAAAACTGTAGATCTATTGTTCAGAAATAATCGATGATA